GTTCAACGTCCTTGTAGTTGCCGACCACCAGTGTCGTATCCGTCTTATACAATTGGGTTTCCTGGCGTCAAGCCATGATCAGCGAGTCTATCACAACACTCGAGTGAGTTCAAATCTTTGCAAGATGATATGTGGCAGTGCTCATACAACCCCGTTAGATGTTCCAGGAACCCCAGGACTTCTTTTCTAATGGCGAATTCCTCCTTGCGGACAGTGGCTTCACACCCAACCCAAACTGCCTTCCAAACTACAAGAACAATGCTGGAGGTCGAAACAGGCATGCAGGTACAGCCAGAGACCACAAAGTCTTCAACGACCACGTCAAGAAGGTCAGAGTGCGCATAGAACACACCATTGGCTACTGGAAGGCGTGATTTCAGAGTATCAAGCTGCTGTCACCGCAAGTGAAGTCTTCTGATCACCATGTCCTCAATATGAGCGTCTGGATTGTGGTATGTGCAGGTTGGAAATATGGCGTTTTGAAGAGCAGTCGCTGACACTCATTCCTCAGGTCACTGAACTACTTCACAACTGGGTCGGTCATTGACCATGAAAATCTTGAAGATGAGGAAATAATCGACCCCGACGATTTGGAAGAGATCATGCGAGAGGAGGCAGTAGCTAGTGACAGAATGGACCAAGAAGCTATCCAGGAGCTCACCGAGGCCGAGCGGCGGGATAATGGGTGGAGGCGTGAGGCTGTGCGAAGACAGATTGAGGACATGCAAGCGCGGGGAGAGAACGTTGCGTATGTGGATCCAGAGTTACCGCTTTTTGCATGATGCTCCTCAAAAATATGTACAGCTGGTCAATCATATGTAAAGCGCCTTTTGGTGTCTTCAATTGCCTTCCTCTTTGCCTCCTCTCTTGTATCGCCTTCAGTCACATACTCCTTTATAAGCTCGCGCTCAAACTCCCACTTCTTTGCAGCCATCTCATCCTTAGCCCGGAGTTCCTCCCTTTGCGCCTTCACATTCCTCCATTTGGCATCGTCTTCATCCCTCTTCCTCTTCAACTTACGCTCCTCTTGTTCGATCTGGAGCTTCGCTTCATACCTTGTATCCTCTACCTTCAACCTTTTGTTCTTCATTGTCATTTCTCCCTCAAATCTTCTCGCTTGCTCAGCGACCTTGTACTTCTCAAGCGCCAGCGCCGCCTGGGCTTGCTGCTCCGCTATCTCCTTACGCCCCTTGACATTGGCCGTGGAATGGTCCTTAAAAAGACCTTGAAGTTGCTCGTTCATGTTGGCGTTGCCGCGCCTGCCCTTGCCAGAGGTTGGGGTGTCTTGGGCATTGAGGGACGCCTGTGCCCTTGATCCGTTGGAGAGAGAGCCAGCACCCCTCGCCCCAGAAGTCGGCTCGTCAGCAACCCCATGATTATTGCTGGTAATGTCGGTAGACAGAGAATTGGCTCTGGTCCCCCTGACGCTGAAGATGTCGTCATTCTCGTCGGCCTCATCCTCCATTCCAACGGATTGGTCCTCGATGTCGGAGCGCGAAGACACACGGCGGGCCATAGAGGGGGTGATTGAGACTTCTCTGTCGCCCATCTGATGCACACTGCTTTGCGCAGTGATATTGGCGTTTCGGTCTTTCAACGAAGGGAGGAGGGTGAAGAAGAACGGGCATTTCTCTTTGATTTTGGCTATAGACAGAGTCAGCACCTGACTACTATATTGGTTGCGGCACCTACCCTCCCACGTTTCGATGCCTCTAGCCAGGTCATCCTCCGTGACCCCTTCTCCAGTGGGCTTTTGGATGGCCAACACTTCATCGAATGCCTTCTGCATTTTTTGAATCTGTAGATGCAGATCAGCGTCATGCCACATCTTGGCTGGTCTCAACTCACCCGATCCTGGACCCCAGAGGCCTTAGCCTTGTCGAAATTCTTGATCTGTTTCTTGAGGAGCCATTTGTAGATCACCGTAGCGGCGAACTTGGCTCTATCGTTGGAGTCCGAGTAGGCAGCCCAGTTCTTGGGCACGGACATCCAGTCGATGAGGTAATCTTCACCGGTACGCCCATCCGGTCCAACACAAATGGTGGAGTTCTTCTTGTTGTGTTTCCACCTCCAGCCGGATGCATCATCACCGTCTGTCTTCTTGTTCGATCTTTTGGCTGTGGCGGGGGTGGAAGGAGGAGCAGGCATGGCGATAGGAGCAAACGGAGTTATGGGGCTTCTGGATGTAGATTTGACGAAACTACGGATGAAGTGCAAAAGCACGTGTACGCGTGGGGGCGATGACAGAAAGGGTGACCACGTGGTAGACATGTGGTATGCATGTGGTATGCATGTGGTATGCATGTGGTATGCATGTGGTATGCATGTGGTATGCATGTGGTATGCATGTGGCGTTCCTGGCAAAAACCATCTCAGGTGATTTTTCAAAAATCACTTTGGCCTGAAAACCCGCAAACTGTTTTTTTCGACCATGACGTTTTTGCTCCAGCCAAAAATGCCTGACGGAAGCAAATATTGTCCGAGATGAAAAATCACCCGCGGTGATTTTTTGATATTTGAAACATACTAATGCGGTCTGTTTGAGGGTGGCTCTGACCCACTCTTAAACTTGGTGGTCTTAAACTGGCAAAATTGCCTCGTCAGGAAGGTCCGAAGGGCAGCTCTTTCGGAGCTGTCAAGATGCAAAAATGGACCCTGCTCAGGGTAGGATCTTTGTCACATGTAGTAATTCCTGAAGTGGCATGAGCGCTGAGTTGTGTGGATGGTTGAAGGACGCACGGTGTACATACTCAATTCATATCTTACTCTTCTACTCTTTCTCTATGCGATAATACCGAAAAGGCCTTTTCCCCTCCAAAAACACCTTTTCCCGTCCCTTCCCTGCTGCGTCCCAGCTAGGCCGTGACAATCTTCATGTGCCTGAGTCCTGACCACCTCCTGACCACCTCCTGACCACCTCCTGACCACCTTAAGTGAGCTAAACGATTTAACACAGTCTTAAACCCCAAATTGAATTCCCCTAGTAAAGGCAACAGAGGTTGGCAGACGGGCTAGAAGGATATTGGCATTATTTTTGAGGGAAGAGCCAGGAGCGAGCACGTGATGGAGCAAGATGATAGTAACGATCGGAGGAAGTTGAGAGGAAATGGAAAGAAACAGAGAGACACAGGTGAGCGAAAGGCGGTGGTGATCCCAGCGGCGTTGAGTGGTTGTTGGAAAGGGTCGGTGTAGCGTGCTAGGCGCCTGCACGCCCCATGGACTATTTTACCCTTGCTTGTCTCTGTCTTCGCTTCCGTTACTCGTTCTCGTTCTCTTCCTCTCTTCTAGTAAGGCTGTCCGACGTACGCTTCGCTGGTCGATTCGTACCCTTATTCGCTTCGTGCCGTAGACGTATCACCTAGTCGCTCTGTCTCTCGTCTTGTCACTTATTCATGTATATAAGAAAGGCTGGGTGTGGGGACAGAGACCTCAAACACACATTCTTTGACTCTCCTCTCTCCCCTCCTCTTCTTCCTTTACCTCTACTACTACCTCCAAGACCACATCCAAGCACACCTGTGTCTTCCTCTTCATGTACTTGGACTCAACCCTCAAATACACTTGGTGTTTACTTCAGCTGTCGCCCCAGAGCAGGCCTGATCACCACAGTTGGAAGTCGGAAGTTGTTGGGTGCGGGTGAACGTGATGGGGGAAGTGAAAGGTATGATTGTATGGTTAGTTTTGCAGCTGGATACTGTGCATGTACATGACAATCTCTCGCGAAGAGAAAGCGAAAAGAGCAACGATGAAAGCAAGAAACACCAAAATAAGAGGAATGATGCTTGGGTGACCAAGGGAGTTATGCCGTAGAGAACGTCGCAACGAGGGCCGTAGGGCTGGAAGATGGTTGATGAAACGGCGGATGAGTCGCTCACGGTAGAGCTTGCAGCTGAGGAGCGGCTTCCAGGCGCAAGGTCTTGCGATTTGGATAAAGTGAGAGTGTGAGAGCGCAAAAAGAACGACGATGAAAGCGAGGACACGGCAGTTTTCGTCGAGTTCAACATGAATGGACTATGCATGCATGGGGAAAGAACGGTACGGGGAGGAAGACATATTTTTTCTGGAGTGCGTCGGGGCGAAAGGTGAAGGGAGGCAAGGGTTGGGCGAGCGCTGGAAGGCAACGGAAGCAAACACGGTGGACCCAGTATGGGGGGGGGTAGACCGAACTTTTCTGGAGTGTGTTGGGGCGAGAGGTGTAGGGAGGCAAGGCTGGGGTGAGCGTAGGAATCAACTGACTCAAACGGAAGCAAATGCGCCAAACATTCTGCTCATTGCTTCTAATACTAGTCTTTCATTGATTTCAGTTTTATTACAACACTCTACAAACTCTACTCTACTCTCTGCTCCTCTAGTAGAAGCTCCAAGTAGCCACACCCCCTCGACACACACCCATACTCCAGCAGCCACAGTACTCACATGCATTACTGTCAAGGAGTCCATCCCTATTGTCCGTCTCTGTCTGGCCTCTTTGCTGACCTCATCACATTGTCCCTGAGTCATGTGTCAGCTACTTGCTGGATTCAGTTGTATCAGGCACTTTCCTTATACACAGTCCTTACCCTGTCCCTACCCTGTCACATGGAGGTTGGCTTACCAAACAAATTGAGAAATCAAGGTCCTAGAGTGGGTGAGGGTTGACTGCAAAAGAGAGGGCTAAGTAGTGAAGAGGATGGTTGGTTGTTACATTTAGCACCCTCAGATCAGACACTGATACTCTATCTCTAGGGATCTCACCCTTTTCACAACTACATAGTTCAACACTATGAATAGTTGATTGATGGTTTTTCTGTCAGTGTTTACGTTCTTGATTTGCGGATTTTCCACTAGTCTTTGATGAGTTTTCCACTGTTCATCAAATCCTAAGAATGAGATTTGTATGGTTGAAAACGGTTAGTTATGACCACTTTTTGTAGGCAAATGACGGATTTTCTGAAGGCTTAACTGGGGGGATCTTGAAATTTACTTATGGCTTTTCAAGGAATTTTCCATTGGAAAAAAAAAGGTATATGGTGTCATGTATTGTTGTGTTTTCCATCGTTTTCTAGCGGATCAAACTTATATATTTCCTTCCCTCCAACCCACTGACAAATCCCTCATTGATACATACACAGTGCCGCAGTCAAACAAGCATAGGCTCAACTCACTCCTCGTTTTGTTTGTTCCTTCTTATTGATGTCAATGCCTTTCATGCTCTGAACAATATACCAGTGCCAATGTCAAAGTATGAGAGGGGGCGATTACGGTTGTTGAAATCCAGAGCTGCAGCAAGACATGAGCATTTGAACACTTGATCTGGATCATACAACAATGGTGCAAGGCTTGCTAATCTTGTTTTGCTGCAATACTAGCATAATCCCTGTCAGCCGTAGTAACAAATTTGAAGAGCACGTACACAGGTGATGATGGTCCAGAAGCTGGTATTGAGGAGAGACGTTTCATCACCATCTGCTGATCTTCTGGGGTACAATCAATAGGTGGGATTGTACGTACAACTGACTGGCAACCATGGCGGAGCTGACAAAATGTATCAAGTGATTGTGGTCGTTGTTGGTAGGCTGGAGAATCAAAGAAAGACATGTTGCAAATGCAAAATAAAAAGATAAATTCTCTAACTATATAAATATATTTCAGCTCTTGAAGATTATGTATGCAACCAGTAACCTAATGGTTTCATTCAACTAAGGGTTTTCCGTTAGATAGCTACGGTGTTTTCGGACGTTCCGACTTGTGAATCTTCTGTGTCCAGCAGCCTCCGGTTTTTTTTAAACACTGTTAGTCCAAGCTCTTAGTCTGTTATCTTCCTAAGGAAAGTAGAAACCCACGGGCTGACATTGGTCCTCACCAGAAAAACTGTTAATCCAGAATAATCCACAGTGCATTGGTCAAGAGAGAATGAGACAACCCAACTCCACCTGTAAGAATCACCCAACAAGGACCTATCTTCACAAGAAGCTTCTCTTCTTTGCTGTCAGGTGTACGCAACCATACTTGAAATGCAGAGACACAATATTGGTAGCTTTGATACATGGATAATACTTGTAGAACATTCCATTGATTGCTATCTTGTGAAATGGTGCATAGATACAAGAGCACTTCCAAGGTAGAATTGGTGAGACTCATAGAAAAGATTTCATGAGAGAGATGAGTAAGCTGGAGGCTCAAGACATCCATATAAGTCCATAGTATTCCATGAATTTTAGGCTCCTCAGCAACCTCAAATATGTCTGACTTGTCTATGAAAAGGGCTTGGTGAACAGATTCATATCCAAATATATGTTCCTCAAGGTCTTGTGAGTGGCGGACACATGATCCAATGATGATTTGATGGCGAAAGGCCTTAATCCAGACAGAGATGGACAATACAAGGAGACTCCTAGACAGTAGGGGAATTCAATTTGGTGTTTAAGAGCGGTCTTAAACCATTTGGCTCGCTTAGGTGGTCAGGAGGTGGTCAGGGCTCAGGCACATGCAGATCCTACCCTGAGCAGAGTTCTTTTTCGCATCTTGACAGCTCCGATTCGGACCTTCCTGAAGAGGCAATTTTGCCAGTTTAAGACCGCAAGTTTAAGAGTGGGTCTGGAGCCACTCTTAAACAGTCGGTCTTAAACTTGAGGACGCGCGACTGACAGAAAAACGCGACGTGTTGACAGGTTTTAATTCTCTTCTCTATCCATCGCAAAATCCCCTTCCACTCCCCTTTCTTCAACATCCACTCTCAACATGCCCACCAACGCTGCTAGCAAGTCAAAAGGCAAAGCAACCACCCGGCGCCGCTCCTCTGACACCAGCCAAGGCGCCTCGCCCGCCCCCAAGCGGGCCCGTACGGCAAATTGGAACAAAGACTTGGGCACAGATGGGAACTCTGCCGAGTACCATCTGGTGCAGTGGCTCATCATGCGCAGTGGTACTTCGATGAGAAGCAATTATGAGCGCTTGAAGACAGCGCCCAAAGGCGGCAAAGGGGGTCGCATCAACCTTCACAAGGGTGCGATTAAGTACCTTGCGGAGAAGGGCTGCTCCAGCCAGCGGAAACATGAGACTGTCAAGCCGAAGGTGAGCTTTCATTCGACCGCCATAGCCTATGCAGATTATCCCTCTGACAACCTATAGATCGCCTCGTTGAAAGCGAGTTACATCGACGCCTTGCAGTTCAAGAACAGCACTGGGGCTGGACGGCTTGATGGGGAGGAGCGGGACAGTGGGTTGCAATCAGCCATCTACCTCTGCCGTTCTAGAGTACGCAGAATCTAACTGTCCACTTAGGCGGCATCCTCAAGAAGTGCCAGTACTTCAACGACCTAAACGAAGTGCTATTCCACCAAGCGGCTTCCATGCCGAGTAACGGCGCTGATACCATCAGCATGGGCGATGCGGACACTTCTTCTGTCCAGCTGTCACGCCTGGGGAGTATTTGGAAGTTTGACAGGCAGGGCAAGTGCCGACAAACTCCCTGACATCAGCGTCCATTCCTTTCCAAAAGTACTTACGTCGTAAAAGCTCTAAAGTCTTGTCGACTCCAAAGTGTCCCATTGCCGAGTGGTATTCCTCCAAGCATGTTTCTTTCAAGAGATTTATTTTATAATGCCCTGGTCACAAAATCAAAAATCCAAAATGCCCTGGTCCCGGAAACCGCGACTGTGATTCTGGGACGCGGGGGATAAACTGGGCCGCTGCCACAGTCTCGGAATCAAACCAAACACCGAAACGCCGAGCGCCGCATATCCATCCGTCCCGTCGTTGTTGATTCCTGTTTGCATTTATACAGCGATCATCGCGATTGTTCGTTTTCAACCATTTTCAGCTATAATCGCCTCAGTCGTGAACTACCTTTTGCTGTCAGGCGCGCCTGTGAGTTCCTTTACGCATTTTCAGTCCGTACGTTCCGTTTTGTTGACTACTGCTCGTCCTCATTCGACCGGCCCGTTGCTCCTGCCGGTGACCTGTCCATATCCAACCTGCATGGTGCGTTGCGCTTTCTTCGCTATCCATTTCAGGCTGCTTGCTAATGTCCCGATGTTCTATAGATTGTCGGCAAACGATTCCTCAACTCGTACGTTGTTTGATTCCGGTTTCTTCACAGGGTGTGCATGAACAGGCCAGCTGACCCCCATTGCAACAGTTTCATCTACAAACGTGCTTTCTTCGATTCCATGATACCCCCATGACACCAACGCCCGTTCCTCCTTTCCCACTCGCTTCAGTCAGCGCTCCACTTCCTTCTCTACCTCTCGCTGGATCCAACATTGTGACGGCCATCAACAACAGCGGTGAAGCGGCCAGGAGTCTTGCGATGGGTGCTGAATTGTGCCAGATGGGAATGCTAGTCAGGGTGGGGGAGGGGTTCAGCGGGGCTAGGCTGGTGTGCCATTGCGGCATCTAATCACTGGATGAGGTCGGTCTGTTGAGACGCCATTTTGCTGGGTAAGCTCCGTTGAGACGACCGGTCAGAGGTGTCGTATGTGCTTCCCATGTGTGGGGAATCTTCGTTCGCGTTCTCTGTAGGAATCGTTCTGCAAATTCACATCACATGTATATGCAAATGGTTTTTGCGACCGCTCTACAGAACATCCGGGCAGAATGAGAAGAATGAGACTTCGGTTGTTGTGGGAAGTTGACGGATAACGAGTGCCAGAGGTTGACCTTGACTCGGGACTTGTGCTGAACTGCTAACTGACTTCTAATGGCAAAGACCGGAAGGATCTCAGAATTCCATGCATCATCAACAAGATTTGTTGGTGTTGTTGGTGTGGAAGAGACGTTGGATGTTGGCGTAGGGGTTGGGGACGCGTTCGAGATTTGATGTCAACAATCATGCAACGCGTCGAAACGCCCAAGTTCCTGGCTCGGCGTCGGGCGGTCGGGCCAGCACAATGATGACCGTGGGAAACTGTGCTCCTTGCCTGAGGCGCCTATCGGGCTTCCTGGGCGATTAGGCGTGGTAATCGAAGGGCCCCTTTTACTGCCCGTAATATCTAGAATGCCCTGGTCGCCTCGCTCCCAATTTCTAAATGCCCTGGTCCCACCAGCCGCGACCCAGGAACAGACGAGCTCCCATTATCCAGCCCATTGCAAAAGTGTGACCTGCGCTTGTACATCCCCTCACACAATACACGTCCGTCATACGAGGAATCTGACTATACCATTGTGAGGAGCTGTCTCTACACTTTCAGGACATGCTAGATTTGGTCTCCTAGCCCCAATGCATACCCCCATACAGCCATGGTAAAGACCAGGGCAGATGACAAAAATCGGATTCGGACCATGGCATTTTGGA